GAAACACAAAAGATCTTCTTACAGTGGCTGTAAAGATGATGGAGTTGTCTTTCCAGATCTTCGATTTAGATGATGATAAAGGGATCGACGACTCAATAAGGCACAACATTGATGTCCACTGGTTCCTATTCAAGGAATCACCTACAAATACAAGCTTCTTCCCCTTTAACTTCTCCAGCAATGCCGTAGCATTGAACCTTGACATAACAGAAAAACCATCAAGTTAATTGCCAAGTACAAAATTTATAATCATTCATTTCTTCATGTTATGTGGTAGTACTGGACAGTATCAACGCAAAACAAGAAGTTAAAATTTCGTCTATTACGTTTAGTCTTTTATTCAATACTGTGTACCAAACATGATATGTATATATTGTGTAGAACTGTACATGACAGATAAAACAGAACCTTGGAAGGTCACAGTCATGAGGCTGCCACCGCCATTGCTGATAATTCAAGTCCTTCCTACCATACTTCTCACACGCAAAGTCATCCTCCATAAAAGAACAATGTTTCTCCTTGTACAGAGGGTAAGATATGTTATCATAAACCCATTTGCCTGAAAAGAAATCACAGCTCGGAATAGAATCATCAGGTGTTGTCTGCTCTTCGAGTACCTGTCGAGTATCCACTGTTAGATAGAAAACAGCAATCACAAAGGATATGAGAAGGAAGCCTGCAATGGAATGAATGTTGTATCCAATTTTCCATGTCCCAAGAATTAATTTGTGTGCGCTTGCCATTTTGCTCAAATTCATTAAACCACCTTGTTATCCAGAAAGCTTAATCAACAAGGAGCAATGAATTGGAACATCTGATTATTTCAAATTTTCATTTAGGTGGGCATAAACAATTTCCTAAAAATGGTGCTTAGTTTGTCAATTTCGTGTGGTTTTGGAATTAATCATTAAGATAGTCAATAATATCTTAAAAAAGAAGAACATCTCATTCTTTGTTAGAACGTAACTATCAACTTGTATAAATAGGGGCAGTCAAGTAGTAACCATTCTGTGTTACAGCTTTCTTTTGACCACATCTAAATCCAGAGCACATTTATCTTTATGCATCCCTCATTAGTCTACTGCAATTTTATTATTTGTATTGAGGTCAAGTTTACGCCCACTCCTTAAACTTTATTACTGATTTTCTTACTTTAATAAATAGGTAAAGGTCCATATCAAATGATTAATCACTCGCCAACTACCTTGGTTTGCTTGAACTTCTGTTTTCTGATAGGAATGGGCAAACAGCAGTGTCAAATAACTATTGCAAGTCAACATCTGTAAATTATTAAATATATACAACTAGCATTAGTAAACATGAGAAGTGTTAATACTACGGTGACCCCAATTCTGTTCGGCCCGGTCCGAAAAATCCGTGGTGTAACATTTGAGGTGAAACTAAAATTATGGGAAAAAAAATGGGGGTCAGTCATGCGCTACAAGATTGGGCCGGTGCGGGGGCAGCCTACGATATGGACCTATTCTATTAGGACTCTATTATATATTAAGATTTCATCGTATTATATATATTCGGAGTAGTAGCACTTCTTGTACTCATCTTTTGATATAGTGAATTTTCTCATTTTCTGTTTGTGAGTTTTCTCTATCTTAGGTTTTCACGTAAATTTTGCATTCTTATTCTTATTTTATATATTGCCATATCTCGTTTTTTGTAACAAGAAGACAACATACTTGATACGTAAAAATGGATTAAATTAAAATTAATCTCTGAGCAGAGAGATATTAAAAAGAAAATAAAATTAATGGAAGCCATTCTTATTCTATTGATGCAATCTTCTGATCGCATTCTCTCTTAGATCCTCTATAGATACCAAACCAAAAAAGAAAAAAAAATAATAAATAAGAGTTTTCCATAAGAAACTATTCAACACACAGGAATTGTAGGTTTAAATTACCGTTTTGCAGTGAGATTTTGTTGTGCTAGAATAAGGTGGTGAAAGGGTTGTATAGTAATGAACAAACAAAGACGAAGTTAGAAAGTTTAAATCGTTAGAGCGTAATTAAACTTTAT